ATGAACACATCCCCTGTAGCTATAATCAAACCAACCAATCAGGTGATCAAGTTACCTAATTCTGGAGTTCTGGATGGATCAGGTAGGGTCAATCTGGATATTCAGGGGAGGGTTTTGGCTACGTCAGATGGAGTGTTGAAATAGTTATGATGTAATTTAACTAGAAAGGAAGTGACCTGTATAGGTTTAGATTATGAAATCCACTGATGTTAGTGGATATTTTTACACTGCTGTACTAAAATTTCGATCAATTACTGACAGGAATATCAGTCTGCTGTGTCAAGAGTTCTATATCCAGACTGACTCGCAACCCTTTGAAGGCTCAAGATGTCTCAGAATCATTCAAGATTTTGATGCACAGAACTAAATTATCAATCAATCATTTTTGAGTGACAGTTGTTGGATCAAAGGTTCAATATCTAGGTTGGCTCACAACCCTTTGAAGGACTCCAGCTTCCTGGATCATCAAGACAATGTATTGTATTTTATTGCAGACAGTACTGATGATGACAAGATTGTGAAGTACCATTGGGAAGAGGTGAATGGACCCTTACAGGAACATAGTATCAGTGGGGATTCTTCTATGTTGAAGTTACAGAACCTTTCTCCTGGCAACTATACATTTAAGTAAGTATACATGCAAGCAATCCCCAAGAATTTCCTTAGCAGTCTTTGGAATAGACCCCATGCAGTGGATCTGTAAAAGGAAAAAGGTCTGCATACAGTACTGATCATGCTTCCATACTTATTAAGTAAAGTGGGAAGAAGGTTCTCTCAAAGGGATGCCTTGCTGTCAGATTCTTACTAGTTATTCCAACCAATGTATTAACCAACTGTTTTGGATTTTGGGTTTTGTTTTGCAGTTTGGATTGTCTATTTGTTTTTTGCAGATTAACGGTAACAGATTCTGATGGTGCTGTCAATTCATCTCAGGCTAATGTCACTGTCCATAAAGGTTAGTTCTCTTGAGTACTTTAAAGCTTTGGTTGGTTAGTAGATGACAAGCTAATGTCCTCTTCCAGCTAAGTTTTTACATGTTGGTGTCAATCAAAATGGTTTCCTGTTCTTCTTTGCAGAAACTGATTATCCCCCTAAAGCCAATGCAGGATCAGATGTAGTGATCCACCTTCCAGTGAAATCAGTGATCCTGTATGGTAACGCCAGCACTGATGATAAGGGTATCGTTAGCTATGAGTGGACCAAAACTGGTGACACTGATATCACTAATGATGTTTCAGTAAGTGCTTTTTTTAAAATCTTTTCCATGAGGACTATTTTCTGGGATCCATCCTACATCAGTCTAAGACAGGTTGCTTTTACTGAAATATATAGACACATACTATGGGTAATGGAACATCCACAAAGCACAAATGATAAAACCTGCTCCTGCAGATTGAAACATATCATCCAAAAAATGTTCAATGTATCAAGCTGGAGCATAAAGAGTGAAAATTACTGTTTTCTTTACAGGGCGTCAGGACACCATTTTTACATCTAAAAGATCTGGAAGTAGGAGACTACACCTATACATTGAAAGTGACGGATGCCAGCGGACAGTCTTCTTCTGCTGATGTTCACGTTTTTGTGAAACCAGGTGTGTATATTGTCATCTGTTATGGCCGTCAATCAATTTTCAATATTCCCTCTGAGCCAAAATACTTTCAATTCCCCAATCTTCTGCAGCTTTCCTGCAAGAAAACTATTGAATTGGTAAATGAACTCAAAATCCTAGTAGCTTTATGTGTTTGT